ATATCTTACTTAAACTCATACAATTATGAGGAAAGTTTATCTAAAATACCCAAAACGTAAGCGAATTTGTCGCAATTTACTAAAAAAATGTAGGAATCAAATTGAAATGCTTCAGAAAAATATCAGTCTTATGGTAGGTTTGTTGATAGATCACAGCAGTTTAGGAACCCATGACAGAAGATTTCAACTTTCACTTTATCATTCCTGTCACTATTGTCACATCGTCCATATTTCATCGTCCTAATTTAATTGAATAAGGACGATGAAAGTGCCCCACATCTGCTTTGCTACTGTTCAGCGTATGTGCTACAGTGATTGAGCATGCTAGCGGCTTACTGTTTTAAGGATTTGGGCCAGCTCCAGGACTCCCTAAACTAAACTTACTAAAGAGCATTTTAGATTTTGCTACAGGTTCAAGGTGGTCCTTAAATCTTTGAGTTTTTATAAGTGGTTCTCCAGTATCGCTGCATTTACTCACATTCACAAAATTTACACAAAAAAATTCACTATTCACCTTTCTTATAACCACTGTCTTAATTTAACATTTAAAAATATAATATAAATTATTAATTCAATTATTCTACAGCTGCTTTATGAATTGAATTTAAAAAAACTCGAGAAAAATGTGCGAACGAACATAAAAGAGAAGTACGGCTTTGGGTCAGTTGGCTAATGAACGCTGACTTTGAGCTTCAAATTTGGCAGGGCACGAGTTCGATTCCTGGTACTTGCGGTCTAAAAAATTATTTACGAATATTTAAATACAAGAAATATTTCCATGACCACTGATGATGGGTATTTGGCAATACTCGAAGTAGCTGTATGGTCAGCCAAAAATTCAATTAATAAAAATAATGCAAAAAAAAAAAAATAATTGTTGTTGTTGTAGTTCTCTTTTACATAGTATTTTTCGAAAAACCTCTTTATAGTTACTGTTTATAAGTTTTTATATGGTAGCCTCAGTATAAAATCAAATTCAATTTCTTTATCGCTTGATCCATTTTTCTATTCGAAAATATATTTCTTGTTATGGAATAAAAAAATTTTAATCATAAAGATTGTTTGTCTGTTTTTCAATAAAACCAAAGCCAATTTTTTATTACTCGCCGGATCTCTTTTTCTATTTAAAACTAAATTTCTAGTATTGGAATATAAGAACTTTAATTATAAAGACGGTTTGTAAATTTTTAATAGCCACAGTATGAAGGGAAATGAATTATCGACAAAGCCAAAACCAACTGACTTGTTTTGCGATTGTTAAATTTCAGGGTTACTTCTCGAACATATATCTTAGTGAATTATCTACGTGTATACACAGTCAACTATTTATCTAAAATAGTTAGGTACAAACTTATGCTTAAAGCAAACTTTGTAAATTAATTAACATAAACAATCAATCACCAAAAAGTGTTTATAAGTTATTGGACTGTCAAAAAGTAACTAATTTTGAATTTTAGTGTAAAAATATGTAAATGATTAAAAATTTTGAAAAATAAAATCCGTTGCAACAAATTAAAAAAATTGCACAATCGCTTTCAGAGAAGATATGAAGCATCATAACCTTTAAGATGAGTAGAAAAAATGGTGAAACGCTTGAATAAGTTAAAATAACTGGAATTTTATATGGTGCGAATATATAATTTTTTAAGATCGTGCATTGATTGACTTTTACGAATTTAAAAAAAAATATTTTACCCCCTACAGTAAATCCACTGAAAAACGACCTTAAATGAGTTTTAAATATTTTATAATCAAATGATAAAACAATAAAAAATTTCCTCAACAGCGTTTCAAGCAAGGTAAAAAATTAGACACGATTAAAACGCAACTTTGAAGTCAAAATGCATCAAATGGTCGGATTACAAAATATAGTGAAATCGCTCGAGCGGAGAGTTCATGACCTGCTCTTGACTTAAATGAAAACAACTCAGTAATTGGTTACTTCAATTACTTGCGTAACATATTAGGCAGATTCATAGTGCGTTGGCACACAGACTTAATTACGGGAATGGATCCCAACTTCCCTAGCCATTTAGATAAGAATAAATACAATTTAATTGCCCGGTTTTAGTGTAATTTAACAGATCTACAAATCTTTAAATAATCGTTTTGGCACACTGAAACTGAAGGAGGAAGTATATATTATTTAAACTGTTTATTATTGTTATAAGTATTGTGTTTGTTTTTGTTTTTCTTTTTTTGCAAAAACATCTAAAAAGATATAATTTTAATTAAACAAAAATAAAAAAAATTAAATTAAAAGCAAAGGTCATATATATTTTTACTAAAATCACAACTAAGGGAACGAATGATCATTAAATTCCTATTCTAAAGTATAACTTAGACTTAATAACGCACTGGAAAAAATAATTAGAGCTTCATGTTAAGAAATCGTATAGAGAGATATTATAGAAGAATTGTATAGTTTAAGTGTTCACTACAGTAACTGGTTTGTTTACATTAAATATTCTCGTTTATAAATAAATTTGTTTATTAATGAGCAAATGAATTGTAATATATTATTGAATATTGAAGTATAAAACAATCTATTAATAAAAAATAAACCGACTTTAGAAAAAAGTCAACAAAATTTCTAAACGTGGGCGATAATAAATAAAAAAATTTTTAATTATAATTTTGTTTAAATTTTTTATATTCTATTTACATAAATTTTAACAAATTATAAATATCTAATAAAAAAAACTAGTGAAAATCCAAACATATCTTTAGTAGTAGACAATTTTATAATTAAGTGAAATCTTCAAATTAATAACCACAAGATTAAAAATAAATTAGAAAAAATAGAAAAAATAAATTATTAAATGTGATTCTCTGAATAACCCTGAGGGAGTTTATTTATTCGATTTTGCACCGTCCATTTACCTTCTATACCAATCAAACTTCTTTTTTAAGCGAGAATAAATCATTTTAATTTTACCATTTTTATGTTTAGAGGTGCCCTACGTTATTTTGATCAAATATAAAAATACTGCTATTTGGGATATTAGAGTTGATCAAAAACTTTCATTTTAGTTTAAAAAAAATCTATATTTATGGTCTTCAAAAATCAAGCATCAAAAATGTTACATATTCTTTAATTAAATAAAGAAATTAGGACTTAAAGCCAACCTGAACGAAATACAAAATAATTCAGGCCATCTTGAGTAGCGACTTCTTGTTAACTTTTTTTGTGTTAAGCCATTTTACATCCATTTTATTTCCTAAAGCCTAGTGAGTAATCAAGGGATCAATCTCCAACAATCTCCATATTAACTTTTCTACAATGTCAAAATTTAAGGAACATATTTTCATATAGAGTTTTATGTCAATTTTTCGTGCGAAATTGGTGTAAATACTAGGCTTAAGAAACTAAGCAATAAATATGTTTTATATGCTTTACAACTATTCTAGATTTACTATCACCTATTTTAACCTATGTGAGCATCAATAGAATAGTTTTATTCTAAATATTATGTGTGCTAGTTTGCTCTGCTTACTTCGATAAAAATATTATATTTGGTAAAAATATCCTTATCATTTAGAAATAATGATTATTTGTATTACATCGAAAGAATGATCATTTGAAAAGAATGATCTTTTGGAAAGAATGATCATTGGGAAATAATTATTTATTAGCTTATAAATATACTTCGGGTGATTACTAACATCATTTACCATAAGTAACCTCTTAATATCCTTTGATTTTCTTGATCCACTTATTATTGTAAAGATTTGACTTAGGGGTATAAATGAAATGCATGAATTTCTAATCTAACATTATCATATACTATATATTAATGTAAATATATACTATATGTTTTTATCTAACATTATCAACTACTATTACTTTGGTTGAATTTTTAAATTAGTAGTAAATTTGAAGACTACAAGTAAAATACTATATAAATTATAACCTCACTAGATTTACGTATCAAAACAACTATTCCCGAAAGTATGCAACAAAGTTACAAATACCCTCTTAATTTCGATAAGGAGTAGTGGTAATGTACTTCAATGACGTATAATTATCCATTTGAAATATTGATTTGATTTTGATTTAGTTTTCTGAACAGAAATTGATTGAAAAAATAAATTCATAATTTAAACTCAAAATCTTTTTTTGTTATTAAATTAAATAAGAGAGTTTTCGAATAGTAGTAAGAGGTTTTTACAACAACAACAATTCATTTTATATTATTTTAATTAATTGAATTTTTGGCTGACAATACAGCTGTTTCGAGTATTGCCAAATACCCATCATCAGTGGTCCTGGAAATAATTCTTGTAATTTAATAATCGTTAAAAATTTTTTTTTTGTTTTTGAGACTGCAAGTACCACATAATGAACTCGAGTCCTGCCAAATTTAAAGCTTAGGGTTATAGTTATAGTGATCAAGATTTTGAAACTTTTAAATAAAATTTTTTATACAGATACTCCTTTAAGTGTTTATAAAAATTAATAATGAAAATGTTCCCCAGTTACTCTTATGAAAAGTTAAAGAAGTAAGCTTGTGTTTATCCATGAATCTTTTAAGTGGCTCAAAAATTTAATCTGAAATCGATCTGCGTTTCAAGACAATATTAACATTAATTATATAATTTTTTAATTATATTCAGAAAAACAATATTATTTAATTTCTATTTAATTAATGCAAAACAAGTTAGTCGTTCTACTGTTTAAGCTAATTTCAACAACACAACTCGTTTTTTATTATTTCATAGCAACAACTTTTTTTAATTCGGACTATTGACACACTTAAATAGTTTTATAAGATTTTTAATTAATTTATGCAATAGCATATTTTGTGTAGCGTGCGCTTATTTTTAACACTTAAAACCATGTCACAAATGTATGGGAATAAAAAAACATTATTTCAAAACTTGAAATAAAATTTCGGTAAAGCACCGGACCAAACTAGGATCATAAACTAGTTATGCCGATCGATACAAAGCATCCAAAGCCAAATAATTTATTTATTTCATAAAGAAAAAACACTCACTTTTTAATGTTGTTAGTAAAAGAGCTCGCAGTTGCACGAATTTCGACCGAAAATTTCTTTAACTTTAAATCAGAAGCACTGAAAGCTTGGGCTTTGCAGACAAACTACTCTACACGACGTTTAACTATAAACTGAACGATCTGCCAGTGTTTACCAGCCCATTTGAATGCAAACGAAATGCTGCAAGCAAACGAAGACCACTGCAAAAACACGAAGTGCTCCGAAGCCAGCAATACGACCCGCGAAATTTTGTGCTACAAAAATTTCTCAAACCTGCTTCTAAATAAGCTGCTGTTGTTGTTGTGAAGTATTTGTTTACATTAGTGTTGTTGTCATAAACCTAATAGCATCATAGATCAATTGATCGATTGTTCCGCCACGTTTGTATCGCCATCTGCACAAGCAGACATTCAGACCTTTTCGCAAGCCTTCACTTACAGACATTCCGCTTTGTATTGAACGTCGTAGTTCGTTGAGTCGCACTCACCCGTAAAGATTAGCGCCTGCCTTTTAAAACCGAGGCAAGGAAATGGGCTTACTTGGTTGCTGTAATCTATCTGTTTGTTTTAAATCTAATCAATGGAATTGTTTTACCTAAACGTGATTATTTAGTGTTGCAATGGCAAAGTCAGGTGTGCGTGTTGTTAACACCTGACTTGTTTTTGAAGAAACAAAAGTCCTGCTATTGAAAAAAATAAGCTCTTAGCCCCGAAAACCAAAACAGAAATTATTTTCAATTTTATAATTTAAATATTAAATTTAAATTATTATATATATTTTTAGGTTTCAGTTCAATCAAATTGTAAGTATTAAACTTAATTTAAGTCCCAACCCTAAAGCAGTTTTGAATACAATGACTAGGCGTCAGCGCAATAGTTTTTCTCTTTTTTATATTGATGATAGTCCCATACTCTTAAGAAAATTTCTTAATATTTTAATTTCAAATCTGTTTGCTATACACCAGCTCAACAAATTGTTTTCTGCAAAGAATAGAAAATGAATACTTTAATTTATATAGCTGTACTTTATACGTTAGTTCTAATTAAAAGCATAGCAAGTGCATTGGTTGTTTATGAATAAATAGCGAAAATTAATGAAGCTCTAAATTCACATAACGTAAATTACAGCAACTCTTCAAAGTTGACAAGATTTAATTCCTAGCAGTTGCAAGTCAAGCATTAAATACGGGCAATTAAACTAAACTACGTCCTTTTCCAAGCTTTTCAGACTATTTGGCAGTACTCAAATGAGCTGTATGGTCAGGTCAGGTATTTGCTTGATTGAATAATTTCTTTTGGATTTGAACATTTCCTCACTATTACTACTCTCTTGTATTGGAAATAAATTTTTTATCATAGAACATAAAATTCTTAATCAAATTATTTAATTATTAATTCTTTTTACAAAAAGAATAATGAAGGATGAAGGCTTGGTTAATCTTACTTGTCTCACTTTAGGATAAAAGAAATATTGTTAACTTAGTTTAAGACAAATAATCATATATACCTTCTATAAGCTGATTTCTTATACAAACTATTGCAAAATTTATTGCATATAAATTTTCAATGAGCAATAAATAGTTTCAGGGTTGAATTTAGTTCTCAATTTAAATAAAAAACACTTAAATATAATAAAGTTTTAAATAATAAATATAATATGTAATACATGTATATAAATAAGTAAAAGCACTACTCTATGGGTGTGTTGCGTATAACAAGGCTGTCAACTCTACTACCTAGAAACTACAAGTTGCTAAAAGTCAGGCTCTCCGAAGAATCTTCAAAGTGCACGCTAAAGGACTAAGAGAATAGAGTCGATCAAAAAATACATGAGGGACAGAGCCCTGAAACTATTCGCGAAAACCGACAGGCTGCCCTACTTAGCACTATCTAATCTCAGAATAATCTCTAACCGCACGGCGGTACGCAGATCTTAGATCAGTCATCGAATGATCACGAAGCTCTTGAGGAATATATAAATTAGTCAGTGAGAAGGGAGGTACTCTGCAGAAACCCCTAAGCTATCAAAGAGTAAAAGTGTCCAGATGCATTAACTAGGAAAAGATTCAACATGATGATGATGAGATTAATAATATATTATAATATATTACTAATATTATAACTTATTATATTTAAAATAATTTTATATCAACATATATAATAAAACATCAATTTTCTAGAACCAATAACGGCTTTACGGTTTCGACACGTGAGAACATATATTTGTTTTGGGTATAGACTTTTAAAGGCATTGTTAACCAATAGGGGTGAATATCAACTTTGAACATAAATTTAAAAAAAATTATCGTCATGCCGATATTGGGCAAATATTTCTATTAAATGTTTATTAAAGGAATGTAATATATGGTAGAACTGTTCGAACAACAGTCCTGAAACATAATTTATATTATTTATATTATGTATGTATTGAAAACGATTCTGTATTTATTTGAAGAATAATCTATTTTTTGCTATTCAAAAAAATTCTATTATAATAAATAATTACATTTGAAGACTAGAAAAAAATTAAAGTTATTTAGAAAAAACAACAATCTTACGAGTAATAAGAGATTCGTTACTGGCTGAGAAGCTTCATTCTGCAGTATTAAAGTATAAAGTCTAATAGGTTCTCGCATAGTTCAGAAAACAGCTGAAAGTTATTATTATATGAAAGTTATATGAAAGTCAAGCAGATCATGACTGCCATTTCAAGTTTAATGAACTAAACCAGATTAATACTGATGAAAAGTATGTATAATGTGAATTTAAATAGTTATCTAATATTTTTGTTAATTTAAGCAGATATTATTGCTTTACAACCAACTTTCTCAAATATATACTCGAGTTCATTATACTAAATGAAGTTCAAGGAATTACAAAAAAGACAAATTAATAAAATATTGCACTTATTAATTAAATTATTTTTTGTTTAAGTATTATACAATATTTTAAATATCTTGCATAATAGTATATATGTTAATATATTTAAATGATAGTGTTTAAGTTGAACATAATTTTTACAGAAAAAAAATTATGAAGAAACTAATTAATTCTTTTTAATATTGGAGATGCAAAAATATTATATATGAAGTTGCAAATTTCGGAGTAAAATTAAATAATTTATTCGCTATTTGAGCTCAATTCACCGAAACGAGCACATGATCGAGAAAATGTTTTATTTTTGATTGTTACTAGATATTTATGTTTATAGATAAATATATGAATATACACATTAATTTTGGGTTTTATTTTATTATGTAAATAAATTGGAAGCTGTTTTTGTGGCACACAAAAATGCACAACTTTAATTTAAAATTTATAAAGGGGATTTTGATGTTTTGAAAATGTAAAAATATATAATTAATTTAATAAATAATTTTTTTAAAGTTTATATTTCATTTATTACATTTAATGTAACTTTCTTGAGAATTAAAAAAGTATTTTGTTGTTGGTACGTAGGTAAAAATGAGGCTGTATGGTCTACTGGGAGAAGAGCTGGTAGAAGAATATGTAGATAAATTCATCATAATTAGAAGTATTTGCTTTCTATGAATTTTAAAAGAGATTGAAGTAATTTCCTAATCTAAGATTAATTTTTGTAATATAATATTATGAAAGATATTTTCTCACCAAGATAAAATATTCGTTTAAAATAATTCGTTCCGGTAGAAATCTTTCGAATGTCATCATCAAAACGCATTGCGCATTCAAGCGAAAGCGGTTGTCTTGAAATGGCAATTATGAGTTGAGTAAATCTATGATTATTAAAATATTTGTCAGTTTTTTTTGGATGTACCCAAAATATAAAGATATAAAATATATCAAAATATAATATATCAAAATATATATAATTGCAAGTACAAGCAGATATATGTAAGCTGTGATCTTACTAAATCTAAAGTTAGACTTAAATACGAACATAACAAATAGATATGTTATGTCCCATTTCTGTTAAGCATAAAATATGATGGTCACTATTTATTCCTCCTATGGTGAAGGGGTTAAAAAATTCAACAGTATGTGTCTGTCGTAAGAGGCGACTAAAATCCCGGTGCCACGCCGACATTTGTGCTAGAATTGTGCATGGTAGTAACTGAGGTCTGCACTTTCGACACTCGACCAGAGGTGTAAATTCGGTACTGCTGGGGTCAGTGGGCCCGTAGCTTCGGCTGTGCTGACCAGTTGAGGTTAGACTTGTAGTGGTCGTGGTTAATACCCAAATTTACGTGGGAAGAATGTTCAGTTAAATGGTTGCATTAGGTGCGTATTCACCACCGGGTGCTATAATTAAAATTGTAGTAGAAGTTTTAGATAGGCCTCGCATCGTACCAAGATGGAAGTTATGTCTTGCACGTATTTCTTCATTGGTACCAGCGGAATTACTAAGGACATTCCAATGAGGCGTTCATTAACGCCTTGTATCAATACATGTGTTTTTGAACACGGAAATATTAGGCCGCCAACAGCATATACGGTCGCTATTTATATTTTTAGCCTAATAATAAAAAAATACTAACTTGTCGTTGAAACTTAATTGTTTTTCAAAGTATTCTCCCTTATGATTAATACAGTTTTGCATGCGTTCGAATAAATTGTCAAAGCAAAGCATAGTTTTTAAATGCAACAACGGCTTCTGTTTCTTTCACCGACAAAAATCATTGCACGCCCTATTTATTCTTCACGTTCGGGAACAAAAAGAAGTCATTGGGTGCCAAATTAAGACTGTACATCAGATGACCCATTAATTCGTTTTTTTGAATGTTCAAATACTAGTAGTCGGTTGTTCGACGAGATGTGTGACCGCTCGCATTATCTTGATGGAGATGGAGAATAATCCGTCGGCGCTTGTTTCTTTTCCGTATTTCACTGAAGACTTCCGGTAAAGAAATGGTTGTATACCATTTGGAATTAACCGTTTTACGTTCCTGTTATAGTACGGATATAGTTGCTACATAACCAGTTCCCCGAAAAAACTGGAAGTGCTTCGAACACGAACAAGTTTTGTTGGATTTAGTTTATTTTGAAACACCCATACCGTCGACTATTGTTTACGTTCCGGCTCATACGCATATATCCATTATTCGTCACCTGCTACAATCTTATATACGTCTTTTAAAGT